CTGCAGGCTTCCGGCGTACGGCAGGTTGGGCTGGCTGCGAGCCTTCGGCCCTTTGACCAGCACGGGTTGATGTCATTCGCGTTGCCGGCGAATGGGTAGTGGAGCTTGTTGTAGAGGTAGCCTCCCGGGTTGTGGTGCGAATTAAGGAGGATGCCATCAGGGGACCAGTGGTAGAGGTTGCAACGCCCCGAAGCCAAGGTCCATGAGGGCTGGCAGAAGGGCTGGCGGATGCGGAAGAAGGAATGGATCGCGGGCTCAAAGTAGTCGTACTGCCTGCAGGCAGCAAGACTTTCGGACGGCGCACATTGAGGCATGCTGAAGACGAAACGCAAGGCCGCCTGCGACTGTCAAAACCCAGGTAACCTGTCCATCTGGATAACGGGCTTCCCCGTGCATGTGGAAGTCCTAAGTATGCTGGCAAAAGTCACAGGAGCTACCTGTAGCTGGGCTGCGCATACTGAGGCTTGAGCCCAGTTGGAGCTTGTCATTGCGGCAAGAAGGATTGCGACGCCCGTCATCAAGAGGGACCCCCAAGTGGAAGCAGCGCCAAGATTGCGTAGCATGCTGGTGCCTAGCAACGGGCTGGTGGCAAGGTTCTCGCACGATCGCTTACCCTATCCTGGCCTGCAGCAAGCAGAATGGGGAAATCACTGAGGCGATGTGCTATAGCAGGAGGCAGGAGCCAGTGCTGCGGAGTCAAGACTGCATGACGGACCGAACTACCTAAAGCTTGTCAAAGGATGTGTGCAACAGGAAACCCCGCAGTTGAGCCATCCAGTACATGTTGCAGTTGATTTTGAAGCAGCAGGGCCGTGCCACTTGGCTTTCTGGCTGGGGAAGCCTTGAAATGGCTGGCGCGACGTGTCGCGGTCGAGGCTGTTCTGTCCTCAACGCAGCAGACACATCTAGGAGGCTAGGGTCCCGTCTAACCAGGCGATCAGCCGCCCTTGCGCACGAGCACAACCTTCGGGTTGTCCCTGGCGAGGGCGGAGGCGGCGTCCAAGCTGCGGACCACGAAGTCCTCGTCCATGACGCGGATATCCCAGTTGGGGAAGTCCGCCTTGCTGCCTTGGGCGTCCATAAGACGAAAGACAGCTGAGGAGACGGTCTCGTTGGTGTCGCTGATCTGGACCTTGTCCACAGGGTCGGTCTCTTTCACAATGGCTTTGCCCTCCGGCGACACAGCTCCGATCCGATGAATGCTCAGGTGGACCTCCTTCTCCGGGACAGGACGACGCGAGTTCTTGGATGGGGACGCGGAGGGCTCATCTCGCTTCTTCTGCTTCTTCTTGTCCTTCTTCTGTGCGTCTTTCTTGATAGAGGTGGAGGACGAGCTCGAGGAGGATGACTTAGCGCGCTTCTTCTTGGAGGTCTTTTCTTTCTTGGACCTGTCCTTCTTCTTCTTCCCGTCCTGGGAGCTAGAGCTTGAGGCCTTGCGTTTCTTGTCGCCCTTGGCACGGACAGGGCTCGGGCTGGAGCTGGCCTTCTGGATCGCTGGCCTTTTCTTGAAGAGTGTGGTGGCTGCGTTCCCGCGGTCCCGCTGGTTGTCCTCCTCGTGCTGCTCGCCAAGGAGGGCCGCCACAGCTTTCTGCATCCTGGCGGGGTCATTGCCCTTTCTGCGCCATTCCTGCAGGTAGGTGGAATCCGAGGCGCCCTCTGGGATGTTGGTGACCCACCACTCGGGGTCCGAGGTGCAGAGCAGCAGGGGCAGCAAGGCGGTGCCCATCAAATAGAGCCGACTGCTGGCAATCGTCAGCTTCGTCACCAATTCTTGCAGACGAGGAGCGGATGCCAGCTTGTCGACAAGCGTCGCCATGGCCGCACGCAGCGCTTTTTGCGTGTGCTGCGCACTGCCATCATGGGTATTCAGCTGTGCGAGAGCTGCGTGCAAATTGTCATCCTGGAAAATGGTGGCCAGCTCCTCCAACTCCACGTCCGCCAGCGCGCCGAGAACGTCGAGGCCTGCTTGCACGGACCCCACAGCCTCGCTGACCCCCACGCCTGGACGGCGCAGGAGGTGGGTTGAATCCGGAGTGAGGAGCTTCTTGAGGTTCTTTGGGCCCAAGAAGACGTCATCCGAGAGGGAGCGCTTCACGTCCTTCACAAAGGCCGAACGATCGTCGTGAGCGCTGGCCTTCAGGATGACTTTTGGGAATTGGTACCGATTCCAGATGCGACCGGTGTGTGCTTGGGCTTCCTGGCGGTCATCCTGGGGCTCCTCCCATCCCCAGTCACTTTTGCGGCTGCCCTTCTTGCCCTTGCTTTTGCCGCCCCAGTTGCTGGACTTGCCCCAGCTGCCCTTGTAGGAGTCGGACCAGGAGGAGTAGGCCATGCTGCCAAGAGAGACTGATCAGAGAGGCCAGACACTAATGGTTCGTATCGCTAAAGCTTGTGCTCTGTGCCACAGAGGTCGTGTCGCACACATGGCAGACTCTCTCAGCATGATCCGCAACAACTGCAAGGAGGCCTACAAGTGTAACAGTCCGCAGCCCGTCCCGCACTCTTTTTTTCTGACAATGCACACCGGTCAGACAAAGAGGCTGGTGCCGCAGTCAAAACAGCAAAAGAGCCAGTGGCCTCCAAGCATGCGCTTACGGCGTGCTCAGGTGAAGTCTGGCGCAGTGTGCAGCGGCTCCATGAACATGAACCTCTTTGATCTCAGTCTCGCTTGCGTAGCCAGCCGAGGTCCTTAGCGTCCTCCTTCTTGGGTGTGTGAGCCTCCTCAGTTTTCTTGGTCTTTCTGTCCTTTCTGCGTCTCTTGTCCACAGCAGCTGGGCCGTGCCCTTCTCTCTGCTTCCCGTGCTTGGTGCTTGGGGAGGTTGATGCCAGGCGAGAGGACGTGCTCGAAGCAGGAGTGTCCATTCGGCCCGCGGCCCCTGCCATCCCCTCTCCCATCTGCATCAACGGCGCGGGCTTCGCCAGGGGATGGCTGGGTGCGGAGGTCACAAGGTCCTCGATCTGGCAGACGTCCGGCGTCACTTCCCCGACACGCGCCAGAGCTTCATCATAGATCGTCAAATCCAAGGTGTGGAGGGCCTGCATGCACAACTCTGCGGTAGGAAGCGAAGCATGTGAGCTGCAGCCAGGACACTCGAAGCATTCGCACCAGGATGGGGCGGCCGCCAGGGGCTGCCAGCAGGTGCTCCAAGCGTTCCAGATCGCAGAAGAGGCATCGCAGCTGACCCGGGCTGGGCTGTGCTGCTCGGCCCACGGACGAAACGGAGAACTGACAAGGTGCCAAAGCCGCTCCAACACAGGCCCGAGGCATGTTTCCAGAGTTCCTTTTGAGACAGACTGTGAGTCTCCACGTCCTAACCTGGGAGCCGGAGAACGCAAGCGTCACAAGAAGCTGTCAAGGTGGCACATGCTCATGCTCACGCCATGCTCTCTGCATACAACTGGAACTCCTGGCATACGGGCTCGGAAGGCCTTGCCTTTTTCCTTGGGCAGATAGCAGCACAGAAATTCAGCAGTCAGTGGTGCTTGCTTTCATCCTCCTGGCTGTGTGCCCATCAGGCCGCAGCCTTAAAAAGCAACGAGATGGCGGATAAGCTCAAAAAGCCACGACACAGCTGCTCCGTGCCCCAGGCCGAGCTCAGTTGTCGGCCGCTGCATCAGGGTTGGCCGCCGCACGCGAGCGAGAGCGAGTTCGCGAGTGCAAAGAGGTGGATGAAGAAGCAGAGCTGTCTTGGCCGAAGAAGTCTGAGATCTTGGGCTGCAGTCCCAAGTGTCCTGCGTCCCAGGCCTCCCAACGAGTACGTAGCATCCAAATGACGGAGCCTCGCGCCACGATGGAGGGGACGGGTATAGGTGGGTCAAGGACTTCGACCTCAGTCAGTGTCCACGCCCAGTATTCCTTGTAATCCAAGTCCTTAGTTGCTGGAAACACGTGCTGGCACACACAGGCAGCGCGCAAGCAGACTGCAGCCAAGGAGCGGAAACTGCTTCCTGGTTCGCGAGAAGCTCTGCGTCCGTCATGAGGTGCGACTCGGTGACGGTTGCTCTTGCTCGCAGGAGCAAGCTTCCGGTTTGCATGAGCGTGATCCGCTCTGGGTGAGGGCAGCGGCCACCGCGGATTTCAATGCGCTTCTCACCTTGGAGAATCTTCGCAAGCCAATATGGCCGGATTTTCAAGGCGTAGGCCGTGGTTCCAAAGGCGACAGCAGCATTGGGTGATTGGACCTTGGGCGCCATGAGTCACTGCAGGAGCAGATGCTATAGTTACGCCTCGGGCAATCAAGCGGCTGCAGCATGCACATGCAATGACTGGCTTTCCAGAGCAAACGGTTCAGGGCAAAGGTACATGCAATATGCGTATCCGAGAATTCTGCAGACTTGGATGGCCCTGTACCAACAGCAGCTGCATCCTGGCTCTACTGTCGCAAGGGGCACGAATGGGCAGATTGCCTGAGGCGTTTTGCATCGCTGGTCTAGACTGCCTGCAGCGGCATCACCACGGATATTGATCCAGCAGCAGCCACAGCTGTTTCTGACATTCCGGCGGTCATCCTGGGGCTCCTCACCTCAGCTGCACAACCCCAACAACCCTCTGCCGCGATGTGATTCAGGGCACTCCAAGCTTCTTTGAATTCTTCTGCTTGTGCCACGTATTACTATCATACACTGTCCATGTCCAGCCACTATTCGGCCCAGCTTGAAGCCAGCAGCCGTGATGCCTCGAATCATCTCCATGCCTCAGATTGACATGCGCAACAAACCAGAATGCGTGGATTCCTGTGGAATTTTGAAGTAGTCAGTTCTCCGGATGAATATAAGTCCTGGCACAGGCATGGATGCAGCCCAGGTGCGAAAAAATAAATGAGAATTTCCATGTTTCGTCCAAAACCTTCAGCGCAGACAAGAATTCCCCAAAGTTAAAATTGAAAACAAACTGGGGCCAAAACCGGAACAATATATAGCATAGTAAAACGCAGAAGGTTTTGTAGGAGGACTATCGCTCCACTAATAAGGAAATGAAAAATTTGGAGAAACATGATATGAAATGGTGAGTTTTACTTTGTGAAATTTCCCAATCTGAGGTCGCTTGCAAAATCGCTGCAAAATTAAGAAACCCTCTTCCCAGGTCTAGCAAGTAGTGGAGCTGGAGAGCACGAATTCCGCAGCCGCTACATTTCTGCCGAGCCCCTATTGAATCTTGTCCCAAGGACGCTTGCCGCAAGTAGAAATCCACAAAAAACAGCTTCGAGCCGTGAACGCCGTGCCTGTCAAAATGTACAACAGTCCTTAAAAAAACCCAACGGGCGCGGATTTCGAGAACGCAGGCGCGGTACCGAAATGGCCGAAAGAAGGTGTCCCGGGGCGTCCCGGGGGCGTCCCGGGGCGTCCCGGGGGCGCC